CCACGAAATATGGTGAATAAGTGGTCGTGCACCAAAATAGGCGATCGTCATTGACAGGAGGCGAGTCAGTTGGTGGGACAGCTAACTCTATAAAATACCTCAAAACTCTACGATATGGCCATCGTCGGGTAAGAGGCGCCATAACCTCTCCCTCCTGCTGCCTTGCAGGGTAAGTCTCTTTAGACAAAGTCTATTGGAGTCAAATCATACAAAAACCGGCGGAGGGCAAGGGGAAACCACCCCTGCGCTATCCCTAGTTAATCATGCCTCAAAATAATATGTATTCAGATAACGACGTGAATGGGGATTCCGATCACCTCGTCCGGTAGGGAGCATCATGTTCTACGGGTGATACCCGACCGTCATCCAGCTACTGTAGAAAAAGTAATTGGTAGAAACATCATAAAAATTGGTACGTGGAATGTCAGAACACTCATACAAAACGGAAAGCTGGATAACATCAAGATGGAAGTGAAGAGAATGAACATCAACATATTAGGAATTAGTGAAATGCGATGGCCAGGAGCAGGGAAAAAGTATTCAGATCAGCACAGAATTATTTATTCGGGTGGCAAGGATTATAGTAAGGGAGTTGGTATTATTTTGGATCTAAAGAACTCAGAAACTGTGAAAGGATTTTGGACAATATCAGATAGAGTACTATTAGTAAAACTTCGCGGCAGACCGTTTGACATCAACCTAGTACAGATTTATGCCCCAACAGCAAATAGTTCAGAGGAAGATATTGACGCATTTTATGACGAGTTAGACATGGCTGTTGATCAATGCAAAAATTGTGAAGTAACAATAGTACTTGGAGATTTCAACGCGGAAGTAGGAAGTGAAAAAGTGTACGGGTGGCTATGGCCTAGGAGAAAAGAATGTGAGAGGTGACAGATTAATAGTATAAGCTGAGTCACGCATCATGATAATAGGTAACACCTGGTTTAAGCACCATCCTCGAAGATTGTGGACTTAGAAAAGTCCTGGCGATAATGTCCGCAATCAGATTAATTATATTTTGATTTCAAGAGGATTCCAGAGCAGCTTAGTTGGAGCAAAAACTAGACCAGGAGCAGAATGCTTTAGTCACCATGTTCAAGTTGTAGGAAAAATTAGAATAAAACTTAAGAACATTAGAAAAACACCACAGAACATCAAGTTAAATTTAGGAATTCTTAGAACGTATAAAGAAATTAAGGAACAGTACAATGTCACTGTACAAAACCGGTATAATTTAATGGAAATTATACAGACTATTGGCGTGAGTCAATTCAGCAGACATCAAAAGAGACAATCCCACCAACCCATAGAGTTGCAAAAAAGAAATGGATGTCAACCGAAATTCTGCAGTTGATGGATGAAAGAAGGAAGAAAAAGAATGATAAAGAAGAATACTTTAGAATACAAAAAGAAATAGTGAACAAATGCAAAGTGGCTAAAGAAGCCAGGCTGAATCGAATGTGTACAGAGATTGGGGAAAATCACACGAAAAACTCACATTTCATGTACCAACAGATAAATATGTTAACAGGAAAGATGACACGCAACAGCACTGGATGTTTCAAATGAAAAGATGGTGACTTATTATTGGGGCATAGTAATATAATTAACAGATGGACAGAGTATATAGGGGAATTGTATTAGGATAATAGACCAGACGTAGAACTGCAGACCAACAATGATGGTTCACCAATAATGACTGCAGAAGTTGAGGATGCAATACATCATATGAAGAAAGGAAAAGCACCCGGGCCAGACAACATATCACTGGAAGAAATCGAAGCACTGGGAAATTTTGGAACTGAAATAATAACTAAACTTTTAAATGATATTTAAAATAGTGGGTACATTCCAAATGACCTTTTAAAATCCATATTTATAGCTCTGCCAAAGAAACCAGGCACTTTAAAATGTGAAGACCATCGCACAATAAGTCTTATGAGTCACATGACTAAGAATTTACTGATAATCATTAAGAGAAGGATAAGAAACAAAATTAAACCTGAAATCAGCGATGAACAATGTGGATTTGTAGAAGGAAAAGGTACAAACAATGCCATATACATCCTAAGGACATTGTCAGAAAGAGCTAAAGAAGTAAAGACTGATTTGTACTTATGCTTCATAGACTATACAAAAGCATTTGACTATGTGAAGCAGGAAGAAGTAATCAAACTGTTAGAAAAATTAGAAAAAAATGGATGGGAAAGATCTACGAATAATAAAGAATATGTATTGGCAACAAACAGCAGCTATAAGAATTAACAACTGTTAAGGTACATTTCAAAGCATAAAGAGGGGCGTACGACAAGGATGTGTACTTTCACCTGATTTGTTTTCAATGTACAGTGAATATATAATGAGATCATTAACTGATATGCTCGGAATTGTGGTTGGTGGGCCCAATATAAATAATTTACGTTATGCTGATGACACAGTCTTGATAGCAACAAGTCAGAAAAAATTACAGGAAATGATAGACATTGTAGTGTTAGAAAGTGGAAGAATGGGCATCAGTTTGAATAATGGGAAGACAGAAGTAATGGTGGTATCAAAGAAACAAATTATTCCTAAATGTGTAATAAAAATCAGTTGTGTTATTTTAGGACAAGTACAGAAATTTAAGTATCTGGGCACATGGAAAACATCAGAGGGAAGATGCATAACTGAAATAACAAACATAATTAGAGAGGCAAAAACTGCATTTTATAAAATGAAAAACATCTTGTGCAATATATCCTTGTCATTGAGAGTTAGAAAAAGAATTCTTGCTTGCTACATACATCCTGTTTTAACATATGGATGTGAATCCTGGACAATCGGTAGGCAGGCCAAACAATTTTTAGAGGCCTCAGAGATGTGGTTTTATAGAAGAATGCTTAGAATACCTTGGACAGCCAAAAAAGAGTAACCATGAGGTTTTGAAAGAGGCGGGAGCCCGAAGACAACTTATCACAGACATCGGAAGGAGACAGTCATCATTTTTCGGCCATGTTATGAGAAGAGGGACAATAGAACATGTTGTGACCACTGGAAAGATCTGTGGAAGGAGAGATAGAGGAAGACAACGAGAGAAGATGCTTGACAGTCTTGCTGCATGACATGTAGGTGTATCGGCACACGAACTGATACATGCTGCAGGAGATCGCAGATTATGGAGAGGCATTATCGCCCACGCCAGTCGGCAAGGCACCTGATGATGATGATGACTCTGGCTCTTGTCATGGGACGCAATATAGCCAGGCCATAAATATGGCTTAATGGCTGAACGCGGTTTCTGGGACCTCTCCACAGTGATCCTCATCCACATGGTGGCACAATGTGTCATCGGGTGTTTACCACTTGTGTGATGTCCTGGTGGGGTAGAAAGTCAGTCAGTCAGTCAAAAATCAAAAAAGCACATACTATTTGCAGTATGTCATTCACATTTTTTTTTTCTTTCTCGATTTCAAAACATGTTTAATTATGTTTAATGAATGCTCCCACAGCCTTGATAATAATCATTCATTATATATGTGTATATGTGTGTGAATGTGGCTATATATATATATATATATATATATATATATATATATATATATATATATATATATATATATATATATAGACACTGACTGATGTAATTAAAACGAACCGGTAAAATCTATAATATACACTCCTTGTAGTAATAAAGTAAGGAAAAGACATTTTTCCACACGCACAAATGGAGATGAATACCAGTAGTTAGCCTGCATAATGGAAGCCGCTGTGGTGTACCGACTAAACGCTAGCCTGCAGATCCGAAGCTTGTGAGTTCAGTTTTCAACGGAGCCAGACATTTTAATATTGTCCTTGACTGTTTTATCTACCCAGCTGAAATAGGTACAGGGGACAGGCCTTGGAGGTCAAGGCAGCTGACACGATACTGACCCGTCATTCATTGAGTGCCGATTGGTCTATAAAATATGGAGGAAAAAAGTTCCTAATCTGTTTAATGGAACTTGATGTGTGATGTGAGTAAAGTAAAAGTTAAGATTCACTTTCACGCCTTTCGGCGCATCGGGCACATGGACAGAGCGTCCCATATTTTTTACAGACCAATTGGCACTCGGTGGGTAATATGGTCAGCATTACACCGGCCGTCTTTACTTCCCCAGGACAGCCATCTTGGTACTCATTTGAGGCTGGGTTGACCAGCGATGTCTTATACCACGATAAAAATCCACGAAGCCCGCAGTTGGTTTCGATCGCGGTACGCTGGATTACGAGTCGGACTCGCAACGCCTTAGTCGATGTGTGATGTGGTCAATATTAATTCACGACCTTTATTTCCCATAATATGTCCTTGACCCACCCAATGCCGGATCGACATCAGATCATCAGCCATTTTTGAAGCGATAAAACTAAAAATTATGGCTGCAGTTTGAACACCGGAAAGCATAGTCGACAGGCAGTCATTCTTGCCACTGTGTAGTTTCATCCAGTGAAATCTTCGACTCCAATAATTCCCAGTTAGTCAGGAATCATAAAAGCCTCTTGGCGTCCCACCAATAAGCCACCGCTACGCCTAGATTTGTTTATTGACCATTTGGTACTGGCTGTGTTGTTGTTATTTGGGTACCACCTCCTCCCTTTTCCTCTTCTTTTCACCTGTTCTTCTTCTTTTTCTTTTTCTTCTTTCACTTCTTCTTTTTCTTTTTCTTTTTCTTCTTCTTCTTCTTCTTCTTCTTCTTCTTCTTCTTCTTCTTCTTCTTCTTCTTCTTCTTCTTCTTCTTCTTCTTCTTCTTCTTCTTCTTCTTCTTCTTCTTTATTTTTATTTTTATTCTAACCATCAATGGAGCATAGGTCCTCAACTAACTCATGCTAGGTCGTTCTATCCTTTGCTATATTATGAAGCTCACCCCATCTCATCTCCATTTTTTATTAACTTCACTCTCAAACTCCCTTCTTAGTGTGGTTTTTGGTTTCATTTTATTTCTATGCCCCTATGGACTCCAGTGCAAATACATTCTAGTTGATTATTTTGGTACTGGCTTAATCTTGGAAACCAAAGGTTCCAACAAAAACAAGACGGCACTTAACAGTATCAGAGACCCCATATAATTGTATCCAATGAAAAACGAACCTGTATAATCTTTTATGGAGCCAATAACAACATGCTCTACAGAAAGGATAATACCGTTTACAAGAAAATACCCAGCCATGATATGGCCCATATATTTCACTCCAAGAATATCAACAATGATGACTGCAATCATGACATGAGTCACTCCGACTGTGATTCCCAGGAATACTTCTAAAAGAATCATGAGACCAAATCCTTTAAAATATGGCGTGAACTGCATCACAGTCCCTGTGAAGATAGCGCAAACAGCAGTAATGTGAATACGCTTGACGTATCCGAGGTCTGCGAAGGCCCCTATTCCTAGCTTACTGAAGAGGTCACAAACTTTAATCACTGTGACTAAATAAGGGATTTCGTTATCTGTAAGACCGTTCTCTTTTCCTGTAGCTGGCATATAAGCGATACAACTTTGAGTGTGTACGCCGAAGCCAGATGCCATGAGAAGTAAGATGCCCAATGGATGAACATAAATCGACTCCGAGACAGATTCTCGAATTTTACTTGAATATGTCAACTTGATTTTTGTTTTTTCCATTTTGTTCACACATTTATTTGCTACAGAAGTAACGGAGAAGTTTACACTTTCAGCAGAATACACGGGTAAGACCAGACCTTCTACTGGTGATTCATCCCCTTCTGAATGCTCCCTTCCATGAGTAGTTCTCTCTCCGGGAGCCAAACCTTCTGGAAAGATACTTGAATCAGTCAGGTACTTAATACTACTGGACATGCTGATTCTGTCAATGACTTCACCAACTTTACTTTCCCTGTGATGAGAAACGTTGAGATTGACCTCCGAACTGCTTAGAGTTGCCTCCCTGTCATCATCTGAAGGCTTGGTGCCATGGTTTTCGGTTTCACTAGCGCTCCTGGTTCTTGCAGACTTCACAAAACTGGATTTTTTAAGCATCATTGTGATTTCTTCCGTGGAGTTTGCGTTATTTACTTTGTACTCGTGTCCCATTTCTAACTGCTTCTCTGTTACATTTTCTAAATTTGATTCTGCTTCTGATTCTTCTATTATTATCTCTTGGCACTTCTCTTCACTGCTCTCTATATTTTCAGTATTGTCCTTAACGTCTTTTACATGTGGATCTACGTAGTACGACTCGGGTCTCAGTAACATTGAGGTGGGTATACAATTCATATTAATTCCTGCTAACAGCATAATAGCCCCTTGTAATCCATAGGTATTCAGGAAGAACTGAACTAATGGCGGACCAGCAATGGTACCTATACTCAGGCCTAAGTTGACAAAGGCTGTAGCAAAGGATAAGCGTTTTTTAAAATAATGTCCAACAAGTGTCATTTGAGGTACAAAGATAAGTCCATGTGAAAATCCAATACATCCCATCAGCACGTCAATAACAATCATACTTGGGGCAAAACCAATAATGAAAATACACAGAAAATTGATAATGCTTCCAGCAAGGGCAAGCGTGCGTACCTCGAATCGATGTAACAGAAAGGTCGGCCCAATTATGTTGCTTATGGCAAACATGGCTGAACTTAAACCAAAAGCTAAAGTTGTCATTGTGGCCGATTCCTGGTACTTCTCCAGGAACTGAATGAAAAGCACCGAGGATGAACGTAAAAACATCATTACAAAGGAAACATTCAAGAAAACACAAAGCATAATAATCCAAGCCCAGCCACCATCTACAGGCAATGGCGACTTCAAAGTTCCCTTTTTAAAAGGCGAACTTTCTCTAATTTCTATCAGGCTGCTGGAAATGATGTTACTATCCGCCATGAATAGTTTTTGCTTGTCAAGCTGAAACTCCCACAGTGTGTAAATGCCCACAACTGTGGAAAAATACGATGTAGTTTCAGACCATGTCCAAGCACAAAGTAATCCGTAAAAAAAATCGAAAAATATTTCATAACAGTTATGTTGTAGAAACTTTCATGTCAGTTTTCCTCAGAATAACACAACAGATATGCTTACTTCAATATTGCCTGCTGGCTACACAACCAATACATATGAACGATTGTGCAGATATGGATAGAGAAAAACAGACAATGCGGGTGTTACACATATCAGGGCCGATATAAAGGTTTCTTTCTAGGGCAAAGATTACCACGCGTTGAGTAAAAATGGTCTCTTCAGAAAACATTTGTTTCTGGGTCAAAGATTGTTTAATTTTAGTCTGTTCATAAAGCGGGAACGATAATGTGGCTAGTCACGCATACCTGTCTAAACGGATGTTCGAAAATTTCCCTGCTCATTTTGTCTAATTAATATAGTTATTAGATATCCAGCCTTTAGAAATGGAACTGAATATCAACTGTGAGATACCTTCCAAAGAGGAAATAAGAAAAAGCTATAAATCTTCTCAAGGAAGGAAAGGCGACAGGCCCAGATGGTATCCCAGTTGAAGCCACCAGGACCAACATAAACACATCAACAGAATTGCTACATAGATTATTCAGTAAAGTCTGGGAGACCGAAGAAATACTAGCATACTGGAGAGAAGGATATCTTGTGAAACTGCCCAAAAAAGGTGATCTACGGGAGTGTGAAAACTATAGAGGAATTATGTTGCTGTCAGTTCCTGGAAAAATATTAAGTAGAATTATTTTGGAAAGATTAAAAGATGCTATTGATAAAATGCAAAGAGATGAGCAGGCAGGTTTTCGGTCAAACAGATCCTGTACTGATCAGATAGCCACATTACGTATTATAATAGAGCAAAGCATTGAACTGAACTCACCACTTTACATTGGATTTATAGACTATGAAAAAGCATTTGACAGCATAGATAGGGAATCTCTCTGGAAATTGATGGGGCACTATGGAATCCCACAGAAAATTATCAACTTAGTAAAGGCAACATATAAAGACATGAAATGTCGAGTTCTTCATGGGGGAAAGCTAACAGATGCATTTGAAATAAAAACAGGTGTGCGACAGGGATGTGTTTTGTCGCCTCTCTTTTTTTTACTGGCTATAGACGACTATGAAAACAGTAACTGCTAACCCAAGAATGGAATTCAGTGGACCCCTACAAAACAGCTTGATGATCTGGACTTCGCTGATGATATTGCTCTTCTGTCCCATTCACGGAATCAGATGCAAGATAAATTAAATATACTTAATGCGAGATCACAGCAGCTTGGTCTGAAAATCCATAAAGGAAAGACAAAGATAATGAGAATAAATCAGGCAAATAGTAATGTGGTTTCTCTTAATGGCACCCCACTCCAAGACGTGGAGTCGTACACCTATTTAGGCAGTAATGTAGATAAAGATGGAGGAACTGATAGAGATATTAAAATAAGAATACAAAAGGCAAGAGCGGCTTTCATAGCACTAAGGAATTTGTGGAGGTCAAAAAAAATTAAAAGAAATACTAAACTAAAAAATTTTAATTCTAATGTCAAATCAGTACTATTGTATGGGGCGGAAACATGGAGAACAACCAAGGCAATTACTAATAAATTACAGACATTCATTAACTGGTGCCTGCGCAGAATAGAGGGAATAAAATGGTATGATAGAATAACTAATGTAGAACTTTGGGAGAGAACTAAACAGGCTCCAGTGGATCAGGAAGTGAGGAAAAGACGCTGGTGTTGGATAGGGCACACACTGAGAAAACAGGAGAACAGCATTACTAGAATGTCTTTGCATTGGAACCCACAGGGGCATAGGGATAAAGGAAGGCCAAAAAACACATTGAGAAGAGAGCTGGAGAACGAGGTTAGAAAGATTGGGAGGACATGGGGAGAGCTCCATGCAATGGCGAAGGATAAAACGGCTTGGTGTGAGTTGGTTGAGGGCCTATGCTCCATTGGGGGATAGAAAGGCAGAAGAAGAAGAAGAATATATTTATTGTAGCCCCCATAGGTAGTGGGTAGACGTTCGCCTACCAGCCTAAAGTCCTAGGGTTTGAATTCTCATCTGGAATTTTTAATAAAATTAACTTTGGCTCCCATGTCGCCCAAACTTAAAACTGGTATTATGTTATATACGGGGAAGTAAAGGCTACGTAGGGGGGTGTTGACAATATCACTCACTGAATGCTGATTGGTCTTTTTAAATACAAGTCTCAAAGCACATGCCAGTTGCGTCATTAGGCGTGATAAGAGTCATTTGCTTATTTAAAAAAAATACTGTGTATGAAATAAGGTGTCTTGTAGCTGCTACTTCCGTGTCTGTTACCTTCTAGTGGAGCGTAGGCCACCACACAACTCGCGCCGAGTAGTCATGTCCTTTGCTGTCGCTGGCTGCCCAGTATATATATATATATATATATATATATATATATATATATATATATATATATATACACACACACATATATATACACATATTTATACACACACACATTCACATACACACATACATATTACCTTGCTATTATTGAGTTCTTCTATACATTTTTTTTAAAGAGTCCCTTTATTATATTGTCCCTATCTGCTCTGGAAAAATAACATAGTCATATTATAGTCATATTATCATCAAATGCTGCCAATATATGTTCAGTCCTGTCTCTTTTGTTTATTTGTTGTTGTTGTTTAATTCAACAAAAAGTTTAAGAATAGCTATCCTGTCATACTATTCTGTCCCTATTATTCTAAGTTGCAAAACCCCAAAGAATGTAGTTTACTCTAGGTTTAATTTCCTCAAATTGTCAGTATAATATTGCACTGCTTACTTCACATCTGACAGATCTGGAATATTTTTTATTAGACTGTTGGTTCCACGGCTCTTATGCAGATGTTCTCTGATTTTGAAGGAAACATCCATAATTATTCAACTTTTACCAAATGCTTTTTAGGGAGCAGTCGGTCTATTCATTTTGCTTCCCTCAATGATGCCTCGGAATCCACACGGGGAGGATTGAAGATTAAGGTGAAAGTCTAAGTTTACTATAATGTCCTAATTCACAAGGAATGCAGATTACCTGGCTAATAAAGAGGTAAAGGTAAAATCGGGAGATGTGAACCAGCGTCACTGCACACAGTTATAAACCACAAGTGCTCTGCCACCAGTACGGAAAGCTGATAAGAAACTGTCCGACTGTGTCGCCGTCCGCACGAAACTCAGTAGCTACAGCGACGTTCCTCCATTTACCCCAGAGTGTTAACTCTGGTACCCATTACCTAGAGGCTGTGTGAACCCCAGAAACCACCCGGTTTCGAACAGGGCCAAGGGCTGCAGCGAGTCACAGCTGAATTTGAAAGCGAGTCTCGTATCGACTGCGCTAGCTAATGTAGCCTATTAGTACCCTATTTATAACTTCTTTGGAGGCTGAACGGGGCATCTACCTTGGAGGGTCAGTCGTCAAAAGTGCAGTTACAAGTAAATAGCCCTTTCCACAGCCTTAGGCGTTTTGAGCATACAGGGCTAGACCTATATTTTATAGACAAATCGACACTTGATGGCTAATGTGGTCAGCATCACACTCTCCTCTTTACTTTCCAGGACTGCACCTGAGATCCAATCAAGGCTTGGTCACCTGGGAGCCAAGGATTTTTAGCCGTCAAGATGGTATGGTAAACCATTGGTAGTAGTACTGTTGGAAAGAAACTGATCGGTCGATTGATTTTTCTTTTAATGTTCGATGACTTACATAGATGTCCCAGTTCTTTAACGTCTCCACTAGCTTTATGGTTTTGTGTGTGTATGTGTGTGTGTATGTGCGTGTATGTGTGTATCCGTTACTTTATCTTCACCTACATTATGATTTTGACATTGGTTTTTGTAAAGAACTGTTCAGAAAGCAATGACAAACTACTGAACGTATACTTTCAATCCCATACACGGGCATAATAAACCCACAAACAGTCAACAAATGCTGGGTTGTTTTGTGAAGTCTGATAAAGGATATGAAGTTAAACATAGCAGTAAATACTGACCGAGACAAGAGTGTGTATTTTTTATTTTACCTTGTCAATTGTTAGACTGTAACAAATTTAGTATATTATATCTGCTAATGTTATAAAGGCATGTGTCGAGTAAATTTCGTGTACTATTGCTGTGGCGCCCCGCATGCATAAATCTTCAAGTAAACACTGTGTCAACTTTCCAGGAAGCTTATTGGAGGGACAGGAAGAAGGGAAAAACCCGCGTGGTATTTTAATAAAACGTTGCATAAAGATCTGCTCAGTTAAAAAACCACACAAGATATAAGAGTATTTGTGAAATCACAGTAGCGGTACAATTCGTTACTTCATATACTTGTTTGACTTTATTCACTGTGTGTGTGTGTGTGTGTGTGTGTGTGTGCGTGTTTGTGCGTGTGTGAGTGAGTGTGTGTGTCTGTGTGTGTGTGTGTGCGTGTTTCTTTAACTCTTTCAATCCCACACAGACATCATTTTAACTCATTACACCCGAATTCGAACCAGCTCCGCCTGAATTCAGTAAACAATTAGGTAGCCGTCTTTTACAAAATGCTTGCTAGGGGTGTGGGTACAGCAAAAATACAAGAGCATCATTTCTAGTTTTAGTGACTGGTAACTCTTTTATTGGCAGACCGCTAGGGCATAGTTGGAGCCAGTTCCGAGACCTGCGTGTAGCCTAAGTAGCCGCCGCTTACACTTTACACTAGGGAAAAATTGCATTATTTGACGTTTTATTATAACTATTGACTGTTTATCACAAGTTTATCAGAAGAAAGTTTACATCTCGCCGAGCCTTTAACGCTCGTTAAGACTATTGACGAAATAAACGGTAGCTGCATGCTTAGGCAACTCACAAAAAAACTGTAATGTGTGAGAGCTGACAGTCGTCAGTACTTCGTTTCT